GGGGACACTTCATTTTGGGATGTCTTGTTGATCCTTCGAATTGATGAAGACTTTTAGAGGCTGATTGGTTATTTCTGGAGATGTTTTCTATTAAATCCCTGGTGACTCTCACACACGCCAGGTAACTCCTGATGTCTTATTTAGTGTTGAGGATCATCGCAGATTTCTGGGAAATTCTGAAAACTTTCAAGATACTTCATGATTTCAGTTTTAAGGAATCGCTGATTTTTTTTAAATCTAACGAAATTTCCAACTTCATTCAGTATTTTGAGGCGTTTCTCTGTAATCCCGAAGTCTTATGGCACTGTTAGCATGCTAAATATTTTTGATGACTTGCTCTTGAAATGTTTTTATAACCCGAGGACTGATTTGTTGTTGATTCCTGGGCTTTCTCGGCAAGTCTGCAGGACTTCCGAGAATTCTTCCGAATTTCCAAGGCTCCTAATATCAAATACTCCTGAAGATTCCTAAGCCAGACAAAACTCTGCAACACTCAACTGAGCTCCTTTTATGAGGTCTTCATCCGATGTCATCTGTTCGGGGCTTGCAAAGTCCTTTTGTCGGGATCAGCCCCGTGGTCCGGGGTCGCCGCTCACTCATAATACAATTCCTCCATTATCCAGGCATCTCTGCTATCCTACAGCGTACCATGACGCGCCTGCCTATGATATAATACCGAGTATGTTTGCCGCTCAGTTGAGCAAAAAGAAATTAGATCATACTTATGGTGATTTTTTTTTACTTGTACCTTTCTATTACAGTTGGAACAATAATGTTTCAGAATGAGACCAGGAAAGGCAAGAATGAGGAACTTGTCGATTCTGTCATTCGTGTGTAATAACAAAATAACTTTCTTGAGTCGCCCGAACACAAGAGTCTGCTACTTATCACCATTCATTTTATATATATATATATATATATATATATATATATATATATATATATATATATATATATATATATATATATATATATATATATATATATATATATATATATATATATATATATATATATATATATATATATATATATATATATATATATATATAATATATATATATATATATATATATATATATATATATATATATATATATATATATATATATATATATATATATATATATATATATAATATATATATATATATATATATATATATATATATATATATATATATATATATATATATATATACCCGTATATTGTTTATCAATTTGAAATCTCCCCTACAAAAATTATGTAAAATCTACTCGACTTGACCAAGAGCAAAGTTGTTTTTTTCCGGGTACAAAATATGGTTACATTTTCAATTAAACCCGTCTGTCATAGTCAAAAAAGATAATGTGAAACTTAACCCACAACGCAAAATAAAGTGAGCGCTCGTCAGCTCCAAATCGAAATTACAAACTAAAAGAATCTGTCAGACACATCCACTATTGCAGAGCACATTTTTTTTATCGCATGTTGGCGGGCGGGTGAGGGAGGGCTCACAGCCATCATTATTCAGAGGGCGAGACGTGGGTATCTAGGTCACTGGTGCTGGCTGCTGTGAGTCCTTCAAGGGAATATAGAAGAGGATAGAAAAATGAGATGATATCCAGTGTCAATAGATTTATACTTAGGAAACTGAGGTGCGAAACGGACAGCCAGAGAAGACTGAAGACAGAAGAATGTGAAGGCGCATTGGGGCGACCTCCAGCCAGCGAGACATCCCCCTCCTCTGTCCATTTTCAAAGATTAGGGGATCAGCTTCTTGAATCAGTCTCCGTCACCTTCTGCTTTCAGCTCCACCACAGCAGTGTATTGTTGTACACTAATAATAATGATGATAAATAATGTTGCTGTCACGATAAGATGTCAGGCTTATGATTCGTGTCAGTCTGGAAGTTGAAAATAATTATTCGCGCGTTAGAACTTCATGGAAAGTTTAGGTGTTGTTGTGTACATTCAAAGCCTCTTTAAGTGTATGTTTTTGACTGGTTATAATTCTATCCATATGTGTTTTACTTTTAGGTTGAACGATCTAGTTATTTAATTTTTTATGCATCATAGCATTTTAAATTAAATGTAAAGAATGTGTAAAAGATTTTGAAAATGTAATTCGCAAAATCAACTTAACACACACACACACACACACACACACAAACACACAGATTTTTCTTGCTCCAGTAAGCTTGATTGTATTTTCCTTTCCATGTTTTTTGTTTTTTGTCCTTACAAATAATTTTCGTAAAGTGACGTTGCCTTCATTATGGGCAGTAAATGTAACACACCTCTGTACTCTTATGTGTTAATATACATATGAATAATAATAATAATAAATATAATTAAACGGTTTATTGAAAGAGCTTGGCAGCCAGAAGGCTGAAAATATACAGTTACATATTTGGGGAATGGGTTACGAATTACAAATAATGTACAAGTAAATATGAGTGACACAAATAAGACATATAATAACTAGATGGGGAAAAGCTCAAACTACAGTTCATTTCAACATAGTGACAGTGCAAGGAGTAGTGTTTACTGGGAGTGTATACACTGATTTATTAAGTTATTGATAATTTTTACAATGGTTGGGACTGGGCTTTCTTATAGCGATCAGTTCGTGCACGTATGGGCTGGATGCTGTGGTGTCGAACAGCATCTCGGACTAGGGATCTCGGTGGTAGTAGGAGCCGGTGTCGGATGGTGTAGAAGCTTCTACCAAATTTGCAGATGAGGTCGTGGTGATGGTCAGTGAGAGTCGAAAGGGTCAGTGTGTTGAGCGCTTGATATGTGAGGAGAAGGAGAGAATAATCTTGCATGCCCTCTTTTGCACTTTTCTAGGTGTTTACGTTGTGTGGCATTTAGGGAGGAAGACCAGGTGGGGAGCATAGGTGAGCTTGGAAGTATGAATGTTAAACACTGAGGAGCTCTGTGCAGGAACTCCGAGGGACTTGAGTCGGCGGAGGAGGTGGAGACGGAAACTGGAGGATTTGATAACTTCACTGACGTGTGGTTTCCAATTTAGTTTGTTGTCTATGGTGACGCCGAGGAGCTTCGAATCTACAACCTGGAGTGTGTTCGGACCTAGAGTAATGGAAGGAGGTGGGACAATGTGGTTGTGTGTGTGTGTGTGTGTGTGTGTGTGTGTGTGTGTGTGTGTGTGTGTGTGTCACATTAACATAAAGCAGCACAGGGGGTGACAATAGTCAGCAGCGCCTGGCATTCTCTTCCATCTCGCCAAATGAAACTCACGGAGTCGGTGCCAGACGCCCTGGACTGGCCCTGTGCCACTGCCTGGTGTGTTGGTAATGGTGTCAGCCAAGGTCTGCCTCCCCTCAGTGGAACTAATGAAAGGTCACATCTTATTTCATACAACAATGAAAGAGGAGGTGTGGGTGATCGTCTGGTTGGCGGTGGTGTTCAGCTGTAGTGCGTGAAGGTTCCTAAAATACGTGAAAGATGTCCTACTCTTACTGTATAATAGATCAACAATGGTTTATCACTCGGTCGTGCATTATTAACTATTTATCAAATTACATATAAATTCATTCATATATTATCATTATTAAAACTCCCAGTCAGCTCAAATACTGTATGTACTCACCTTCCCCCGTCCTCGCAGCTATCTACCCCAACATCTCCCGAATCCTCGGTAACCCATAATCTACTCTGCTAGATATACCGACCACTCACACCATCTTTACGACACTAAGCTGAGGAGCACCAGAAGCGACAGTATAGTGTGGAATATTGACGTTACTCTCTCTCTCTCTCTCTCTCTCTTCTTGTTTCACATTTCTTTCCCTGTCCTTCCTGGTACTGACGTTAATACAGGAGGTACTGGTATTGATACTGGAGGTACTAACGTTAATACAGGAGTTACTGGTGTTGATACTGGAGGTACTGGTGGTGATACTGGAGGTACTGGAGTTGATACTGGAGGTACTGACGTTAATACAGGAGTTACTGGTGTTGATACTGGAGGTACTGGTGTTGATACTGGAGGTACTGGTGTTGATACTGGAGTATGACGTTAATACAGGAGTTACTGGTGTTGATACTGGAGGTACTGGTGTTGATACTGGAGGTACTGGTGTTGTCTTAGGACACTGGTTATACTGGATGTACTGGTGTTAATACTGGAGGTACTGGTCTTGATACTGGAGGTACTGGTGGTGATACTGAAACATTGGTGTTGATACTGGAGGTACTGGTGTTAATACTAAGTACTGGTGTTGATACTGGAGGTACTGGTATTGATACTGGAGGTACTGGTGTTGATACTGGGGACACTGGTGTTATACTGGAGGTACTGGTGTTGATACTAGGGTACTGGTGTATTGATACTAGGTACTGTGTTGATACTGGACACTGGTGTACTGATGTACTGGTGTTAATACTGGAGTACGGTCTTGATACTGGAGGTACTGGTGGTGATACTGGGGTGTTGGTAGTTAATACTGGGTACTGGTGTTAATACTAGAGGTACTGGTGTTGATACTGGAGGTACTGGTATTGATACTGGAGGTACTGGTGTTGATACTGGGGACACCGGTGTTAATACTGGAGGTACTGGTGTTGATACTGGAGGTCCTGGTATGGAAGGTACTAGTGTTGATACTGGTACTGGTCTTGATACTGGAGGTACTGGTGTTGATACTAGGACACTGGTGTTAATACTGGAGGTATTGGTGTTGATAATGTGGCTACTGATGTTAATACAGGAGTTAGTGATGCTGATACTGGAGGTACTGGTGTATTACTGGAGGTACTGGTGTTTACACTGGAGGTTTTGGTGTTATACTGGAGGCACTGGTGTTGATATTAGAGGTATTCGTGTTGATACTGGAGGTACTGGTATTGAAACTGGAGGTATTGGTGTTGATACTGGAGGTACTGGTGTTGATACTGGGGACACTGGTGTTGATACTGGAGGTACTGGTGTTAATACTGGAAGTACTGGATGTCAATACTAGAGGTACTGGTGTTGATACTGGAGGTACTGGCGTTCATAGGGGGCACACTGGTGTTGATACTGGAGTTATTGGTGTTGATACTGGGGACACTCGTGTTGATACTGGAGGTACTGGTGCTGATACTGGAGGTACTGGTTTTGATACTGGAGGTACTGATGTTAATACTAGAGGTACTGGTGTTGATTCTAGAGGTACTTGTGTTGATACTGTAGGTGCTGGTGTTGATACTGGAGGTACTGGTGTTGATACTGGAGGTATTGGTGTTGATATTGGAGGTACTGGTGTTGATACTGGAGGTACTGGTGTTAATACTGGAGGTACTGGTGTTGATACGGGAGGTACTGGTGTTGATACTGGAAGTACTGGTGTTGATATTGGTGGTACTGGTGTTGATATTGGAGGTATTGGTGTTGATACTGGAGGTACTCGTGTTGATACTGGAGGTACTGGTGTTGATACTGGGGACACTGGTGTTGATACGGGTGGCACTGGTGTTGATACTGGAGGTACTAGTATTATTACTGGAGGTACTGTGTTGATACTGGATTTACTGGTGTTGATACTGTAGGTACTGGTGTTAATGCTGGAGTTATTGGTGTTGAAACTGGAGGTATTGGTGTTGATACTAGAAGTTTTGGTGTTGATTCTAGAGGTACTTGTGTTGATACTGGAAGTACTGGTGTTGATATTGGAGGTACTGGTGTTGATACTGAAGGTATTGGTGTTGATACTGGCGGTACTGGTGTTGTTACTGGAAGTACTGGTGTTGATACTGGGGAGACTGGTGTTGATACGGGAGGTACTGGTGTTGATACTGGAGGTACTAGTATTATTACTGGAGGTACTGGTGTTGATTCTGGGGACACTGGTGTTGACACTGGAGGTGCTGGTGTTGATACTGGAAGTACTGTTATTAATACTGGAGGTACTGGTGTTGATACTGGTGTTACTAGTATTAATACTGGAGTTACTGGTGTTGATACTGGACGTACTGTTATTAATACAGGGGGTACTGGTGTTGAGACTGGAGGTACTGGTGTTGATACTGGGGACGCTGGTGTTGATCCTGGAGGTACTGGTGATGATGCTGATTGTACTGGTGTTGTTACTGGGGGTGCCGGTGTTGGTACTGTGGGTAACGGTGTTGATACTGGGGTCACTAGTGTTGATACTGGAGGTACTGTTTTCGATACTGTATGTACTGGTGATGGTACTGGGAGTACTAGTGTTAAGACTGATTTCTATACTCGGGTGTGGTGCTGATTGTATAAACTTTTTTGCATTCCCGAATCAAATGACTTTTACGCATCAACTCTGAAATATCAAGTGAATCAGTGTTTTCCAAGATGATACTTTTATCATTCAATACCTTGTATGTATCAAAGATTCGGAAGAGGCGAAGAATGAAGACGCATACACGAATTTTAAAAAAAACGTGTGATTTGAAATATCAAGTAATTAATAGCACCCAAGGATTCAGAACAGCTCACGATTATAGACTTACCACTTACCGAAACACTTAACAAGTCGAGATACGTTGCGAATAAAAACATATTGCAGCTTTAAACATTACACTTATACTGTATATCTACCCCTCCCCCATTGACTGGTGCGATATTAACACGATTGAAATTGAAAATAATGTTTTATGAATTACACATCAATGAGGTCAACATTTCGACGAATGAAACACCAATTGCACGAAACACCTCAATGAAACTCCAACTGCACGAAACACCTCAATGAAACACCTGTATGAAACACCACCTGCACGAAACACCTCATTGAAACACATCAATGAAACACTTCATTGAAACACCTGTATGAAACACCACCTGCACGAAACACCTCATTGAAACACCTGTATGAAACACCACCTGCACGAAACACCTCATTGAAACACCTCCTGTAGGAAACACCTCAATGAAACACCTCATTGAAACACCTCAATGAAATACCTCCTGTATGAAACACCTCAATGAAGCACCACCTGCATTGCCTCGAGCGATACATCTCATGAAGGAAACATGTCCTTAACGAAGCTGTTCTCGAGTATGCCTCTGTGTGAACCCGACACGGGCCTGACTCGCTGTCCTGTTTCCTATTAAGCCAGAGCGTCGTGGTTCGCTTGTCTCTTGCTCACCTGCGTCGCCAGCAACCATCGTGTTGACTGGGAACGTATATATATACGACACGTATTTCACAGCTCGGGTAACAAAATGGTGCCCTTGGAATTCTGTTATTTAGGTAAAAAAACGGAAGAAAAAAACTAGAAAAAAAGCTGCACGCGTAATGATAAACAAACTTGTGCGTCAAAACTGTGTCGTTAGTGAAGTCGTCAATGTTTACGCTCCCATGGTCTGTGCTCCGTACTACCTCCAACTTTCTGCCTCGGAATTTTGTGAAATATGTTTCTTTTAAGCTTTGCAGAACGACGCTTGTATTTGTATTTGTATTGTGTATGTGTTATACATATTCCATTATATTAAAAGCCATGTACAGCAAGCGGCGTCCATGAACTATTGTCTCGAAACAATTGAACATCCCCGAGCCTCCCAGGCAGAGTCCAATCCTCTTGGCGTCAGACGAGCTTGATGTGTACCCTATGAATATTCATTCGTAAATGCACTTTGAAGCACGTTTTGCTCTTTTGTTTTGCCATATTACAAATAATATATACAAATTCAACAAACTTTGTAATATTACGGCTTCAAAAAAAACCTAAACACCGAAAAAAATTTAAAGTACAAAATAATGCCGGGAATCCTTCACTCTCGGGCAGCCGTTAGTGTGGCTTACATGCTTATCTCCCCTCATTCTTAACACTCCCTTCACCCCCGGATGTCTCACTCTTTAATTAGTTTCATCAGCGTATGTGAGAGATCCTTTTGATAGTGACGGAGAATGCCTGGGAGCCATTAATTGTAAAGGGATGAGCCAAATTTTGACCCCCTCCTTCCCCAATCTACACACCCTCCCCTTACCCTCCCCCATTCTCTAACTTCTGCGAGTGTCAGTGCTGCGTTTATTTGGCCAATTTGGTTTATTGATTATATCCGCTGACGAAATCCTGAGCTCCAGCAGGCGAGAGTGGGCAGCGCAGTGGAAAGTTTTAATAACTAGAGGAAGACTATAATGAACACTGGGAAGTTTGTCGAGTCTCACAACCCTCCCTCCCTCCCTCCCTTGTCCTGCTGGTGGTAATGGTGATGTAGGTTGTGATGGTGGTAGTGGTTGTAGCCAAAGACACGTTCTTATCATACCCACGTGCGTAGTGATCACTTCCCCATTCCTCTTCTGTTATTGCGATTTCCTATTTATTCACACACACACACACACACACACACACACATCCAGATTAAATCCTGTAAGTGGATTTCCTAAGTGGACTTGATAACTAGGGGAAAACAAGTGAGGCATGGGAGAAGGAGGAGGAAGAAGTAGGAGGAAAATTAGAGGAAGGAAAAGGAGGAGGAGGAGGAGGAGGAAGAAGAGAAGGAGGAGGAGGAGGAAGATAAGGGTGAAGAGGCAATACAAAGCTCAGGGAGATTTAAAAAATAATATAACACGATAACTCTGAAGATTGTGTCAGGTTGGAGGTTAGATTAGGTTAGGTTAGGTTAGGTTAGGTTAGGTTAGGTTAGTGAGACATCATAGCTTCAAAGACAAGGTAGGCATTGATTGAATCAACTTGATTTAATCACTTGATTAAATCAATGACTTTTCACAGAAAAAATAATGAATAGTTTGTTTTGTTTTCCGATTGTTTTCATAAAAAAGTTGACGAAAAAGAGATTTGAAGGTTTATAAAAGAAAATCGTTGTATAACTTTATGCTGGAATTTAAAGTCATATCACGATGATATCGGTTTATTATGATCTTTCTGTGTAATATATTAAACTTTGGAATTTGCTATCTTTAAGAACACTGACAACTCAGTTAGGAGTCTCTGGACCACCAGTGGACTGACAGGAGATGAACAGGAATGTATCTGGGCTGTAGTTCTTAGCCTGAACCAACAGTGGACAGACAGGATATAAACAGTATTCAGTACACTGTACTTGAAAAAAAAATGAAAAGATATTTTTTATTTTTTTACTTAAAAAAAATAAAATATTACCAACTTACTGCAGCACAACATGATCCCTTCTTACTCTTCCCTCTCCCTCCTTTAGGTTATAAACAAACAAAAAACAGTTAGTTTGTGCATGTTTGTTAGTATTTATTTACAAAGCACCATCCTGGAACTCAGCTAAAGAAAGACTTATAGATAAAAATATACATAATCTGTAAAGGGTTTTTTCAGGTGAGGGACAGGTGAGGTTGATGTGTACGAAGAGAGATGAGGGTGGTGGGTGAGAGAGAGAGAGAGAGAGAGAGAGAGAGAGAGAGAGAGAGAGAGAGAGAGAGATAAGCGTAAATGAGTGAAACGAAAGAATGAAAAATAAACACACACACACACACACACACACACACACACACACACACAAAACAAGAAATCAGTCTCTCCTACATTCCCAGCAATCCATTACAGTATTAAGACTAATTCTATTAATTACGCTTATTACATTAGGGAAGCAGAGTAGATTTAGTGCACCAAAGAAGCAGCTTCGTCTCAAGGGGCCTCCACACGAGGCAAGGGATTTGTCAGCCCCGCGCTGCTAAGGAAAAACTTAATTACATTTTACGCTAGGTCGTGTTCTTATTTTCCTTGGCGTGGAGAGGAGAGAGTGGGCTGTAGGGAGGCTGAGGGTAGAGAGGTAAGGAAAAGGTGTAGCTGCTGTGATAATTTATTGCCTGATGCTAATGAGCCGTACTTTTTAATTATACATTTAATGAAGTTAGCGGGAACCCTTTTTAACGAACACGTTTGTCACTGTTGAGGCAGTTCAAATGATTTTTAACTACGGCATCAGGACGTGTTTAACGATGTCAGTTGTAATTGTTAAGGAAATTATTTTAGCAATTTTAATGAAGTCATAATAACACCTAAAGAAATCGCTAGAACATTTAATGAATCTATTATAATATTT